TTCTATTTGAAATAGTAATTTAATTTTTTCAACTGTTAATTCCTGACACGTCGGAATTGACATTCTTTATTCACCTTTGAAAATGAAACACTGTCAATTTCGTGTATTTGTTATAGAAGCTTTTTGTAAATACTGTAGGATTGTGTATATTAACATTTGTTTTATCAGCAAATAGAGGCAGTTTTACTTCTTCGTTTGCAATATGTATGTTATTTGTTTCTTATTCCTGTCTTACTGCACTTTGCAAATCCTCTAATACAATACCGAATAGGACTTGTCCCAGCTCTTAAGGAAACAGTCATTCAGTCATCACCATTTAGTATACAGATTTAAACATATATCCTAAGTTCTTTTATTCCTAATTTTATGAAAGTTTTGGTCAGAAATAGATGTTGGATTTTATTGAATGCTCTTTCTGCATCTCTCGAGATGGACATTGTAAAAATAGTCTTTCTATAGCAGATCACTTGGATTGGATTTTAATAGTGAATGAGTCTTGTTTTTATTGACATAATGAATCATCCTACATGGGTAGATGTTCAATTTGATGTCACAATATTTTGTTGATATTTTTTCATATATGTCCATGACTGATATTTGTCTATAGTTTTCTTTTCTCTCAATGTCATTTTTTTGTTTTGGTGTTAGTGTAATGCTGGCCTTATGAAATGAGTTAGGAGTCCTCTCATCTCATCTGTTTTCTCTAAAAGATTGTGTGCAGTCAAAATTTTTTATTCTTCAAATATTTGATAGAAATCAGCAGTGAAACAACATGTGACTAGATTTTTTGGTAGATTTTATTTACTAATGCGATTTCTTAATTACTACAGGACTATTTGTTACCTGTTTCGTCTTCAGTGAGGTTTGGTAGTATGTGTTGTGTCTCTAGAGGAATTTTTTTTTTTTCCTCATCTGTTAGATTTGTGTGTGTAAAATTGTTTGTAGCATTATTTATTTATGGCATAGTGTGTGTTGACAGTTTGTCTTTCAGTTCTGCTGTTAGTAATCTGTACTCTCTCTCTTCCCTTTCCCTTTCTCTCTTTGGTTTTCAATTTCACTTCTTTCTGCCCAAATTGTTATTAGCCCCTTTCTTTAGTTTCTTAGATTTAAGTTGTTCTTCTCTCTCTACGTTCTTAGGCTACTGCGGTGAGATTTTTATTCTTTTCTAATATCCACATTTAATACTCTGCATTTCCGTCTAGGCACTTTTATACAGCAACTCACAAATTTTGATAGGAATTATTTTAATTTTCCTTATGTTCAGAATAATTTTTAATTTCCTTTGACATTGTCCTGTCAGTTATTTACAAGTGTGTCACTGTATTTCCAGAATTCGAGAATTTCCCAGAAGTATTTGTTATTGATCTCTGGTTTATCATGCTCCAAGAATATCATGGTTCCTATTTTTAAGATTTATTATTGTTTATTTAATGCCCTAAAATGTGGTTTGTCCTTTTGCTGGATATTTCATGTTTATTGACTATCATGTGTTCTGCTATTCTGTAGAGTGTTCTGGGCATTTTTTTTTAGGTATCTTTTTTCTATCTTGTTACTCAAATAATCTATTTTCTTATTGCTTTTCTGCCTACTTGTCCAATCATTTATCAAATGAGAAGTATTTAGTCTCTTATAACTGTATTTGTCTAATTCACTTCCAGATTGATTAGTTTTTACCTGATACGTTTTAAAGATCTTTTGCGAGGTACATTAGATTGTTATGTCTTCTTAGAGAATTGACCCCTTTATCATTTTGTGATGTCAGTTATTATAATCTCAAAAGGTCAGGTGTAATCTCATTGTGATTTCAAAACAACAACTTAAGATTGCAAATTAATATACTACTAATATGTAATTTTGGCTGTTTCTGTATTACTATCTGAAGGGAAGTGCAGTCAAGCAAGGCTCTAGATGTCTACAGAACATTAGAAAAAACTAACGGTAACTCACATATAGTAGTAGGCTACGTAGTTGGCTACTATGGAAATAGTTGTGTAGTACATTTGAGTTGAGCTATTATATATTTTCTTGTGATAATATCACTAATGTGACTCATTATGAATGCACACTCACACACTTGAAGCTTACAAGTTTTTGTTCGGCTCTACTGGTATTCTGAGCACTGTCATTAGTAAATCTTTTTGTTTGTTTGTTTTGACTTTGTTTTTAAACCAGAGTCAAACACTATTAAGATTCAATTTTGCATTCACAAAAGGATAAGAAGTTGTTCTGTGTCTCCAACTCAATTCCACAGCAATGTTTTTATGTTGGGATAAAAGAAGAAAAGTGGAAAAAGAAAAAGATGGCAAGGAATAGACATTTATTCATCTCCCCTTTCCTTAAAAGTAAACATTCTGGGATGATAAGCAAAATTCAAAATTGGAATTATGTAAAAGTTCCTCCAAACATTGAAGTGGTATCATTGTCTGGGGTAAATACTCAAGGCTCGTTGTCTCACGCTGTGGAAAATCAAGGGCACAGACACCCAAGAAGTGAGTTTAAGAGTGGAAGTTTAATAGGTGAAAGGAAGAGACGGAAGAATAGCTCTCTCTCCTGCAGAGAGGGAGGGACCCCCTAGTAGGTCTTCTGATTTTGTGGTGAAATGGTTCTTCCAGTTTTTTGTGGTGAAATTCACAGGGTTTTATAGACTAGCTTGAAGAGGCAGTGTCTGATTTACATAGGGCACCAGAGATTTGTTGAACCAGGTGTGCCATTTAAATAGTACACGAAGAAGCTGGCTGCCCCACCCTATCTTTTATTATGCAAATGGTTCTCTACCTGGCTGGCACCATGTTACCTGCTTCTTTACTGCACACATGGTTGCAAAGAAAAGGGAAAAGGGAGCTGCCATGTGGAACATACCTAGCCCCCAGGTAGCCCTTTCCTATTGGCACAGCTGCCGGTATTCACTTGTGTAAGCGTCCAGCTTGCTTATCTATGTCTGCAGCTGGATTTTACAGGCTGCTCTTTGTTAGAAAAGAAATGACTTTGGGGCTACTTTTTATTAAAAGGGAAGCCTTGCCGAGGACTCCTTTTCCCTCACTAACTGCCCAAATAATTTCTTTTTAGGTCCTGTATCAATATCATTCTTTAGAAGAGGTTGAAGAATGACAAGCATGGCAGCAATAATGACAAAATGTAAACCCTTCCATCGGGCATCCAACAGAACTTCAGGAACCCACAGCTCCTGCCATCTTCGGAAGGTGAACAGAAGTGGAGAGTAAACATCAAACACCAGTTACCTAGATCCGTCACAGCTAACATAATGTTGAGATGATTATCAATGTGTGTATCATGGGAGAGGAAAATGAATTGAGTTTATAAAGAAATCGAAATTCCAGTACAATTCCAAAATGGAAACCAACTTTTTAGGACTAATTATGGCAGTAGAATTGATGCATTATGAAAAATATAGTGAGAGCATTAGGGGAATTTGTCAATTGTTTCTTAATAAAAAGGTATTAAGTTTAAAAATTATCATCAATATTTTAAGAAGATAAAGGAAAGAAAAAGAAATGCACCTTAATTTTAAAATCATAGTGACTAGGAATATTAAGTATGGAAAACGTCTCCAGATGGTGTCTTTAGGAAGGAATTTAGAAATAGTTTGTCTGACTCTGTGATTTTTTGGATGAATAAACCAAACCCAAAAAGGGGCCTGCATACACATACTAAAGGTTCTTTCAGAAGTCTTCTAATTTTCTATGGCTTTATTATAAAACTGTATTTCATGAAGTATCCAACTCAGTAAATCAATAACATTTCCTTTCTAAATCCCCTTTTATTAACTAATGCCTTCAGGTGCATTATATTATAAAATTCACAGCTATAGATGACAAATTTATGATTTTTCACACTGAAATCTATACTTACCCACTTATATTCTTTACTTTCCCACATCCTCCTGTTTTTTTCTGTGCCACCCAAACTGTTCCAACCTCTGCCTGTTACCCTCTGCCTGCTAATTGTTTCTACATTTTCAGATTATCTTTGTAGCAGTACCCCATTATCCTGGTACTAATTCCCCGTATTAGTCCGTTCTCACACTGCTATAAAGACATATCCAAGACTGGATAATTTATGAAGAAAAAAGGTATAATTGACTCACAGTTCTGCATGGCTAAGGAGACCTCAAGAAACTTAACAATTGTGGCAGAAGGCGAAGGGCAAGCAAGCAGCTTCTTCACAGGTGGCAGGAGAGAGAAAGAGTGGAAGCGGGGAAGTGTCACAATTTAAAAACCATCAGTTCTAGTGATAACTCACTCACTATCAGTCAGACTTCAGGAAGGGTATAACATTAGCAAGAAGTGACATGGGACACAGTCTGCAAGAGATGATGACCCATTCCCTGGGAACACTGCCTGACCAAGAAAACACCAGTGAGGCACATCCACCACAGGCTTCAGGAGCAGGAGCCAACTCACCTTCAGGGCTAAGGCTAGATAAAGCACCCGTCAGCAGACAGCAGCAAGCTGAGGACCCACACGAGGGGCCAGCATACAGCATACAGCATACAGCAGGAGGTCTCCTCTCATCATCGAGGTCCTCAAGGGCAGGAGCCGCTTATGTAAATCCAGATCCATCTTGGAAAGAAGCAGGAAAAACACAAAGAAATCTGAGCATTCCTAGAAAGTGCTTGCCCATCCAATGGAGGCTACCAAATCTGACAGAGAAAAGGAACTACCTTGTCTGGGGGTGATTCTATAATTTGGTGTACTTGGTAGATTAAACTCACTGATGACTCCACCTCCCTGAAGGCTGTCGATAACACTGAAAACACATCTGGTTGATTCTAGTTTGTTTCACCTAGTAACTTGGGATCTATACAGGGGCCTGGAGACTTCTGAAGCTGGAGAGGACCATGAGGGAGTCAGAGCAGAGGAGTGCTTTGATTCTACCTGATGACTCTATGGCAGCATCTGCACAAATCTTGTTTCGGAGCTTCTCCTCTCACATGCAACCATCCTGTATTTCAGACAAACTTTGATTTTAAAAAGTTACATGGCCACCAAGACAGTGTTTTGTGCATTATTACATGGGCATATTTTGCATAGATACTATTATGATTGGTGTGTCGCATAGCACTGAACACTCACAGTGCATCTGCAGGGTCATTTGAATTAAAAAAATCAGAAAACAATGGTGGCTTAAAAATAGAACATCTATTGGCCCTAAAAGATCTAGAGCCCTTTAGGGAGTACAAGTAAACAATTCAGGATCTGATGTGCAGATGCAAACATTTCCCTGGACTTCATGCACCTTTATAAAAATGTGGTTTGGAAGCCACTTCATTGTGATTTGAATTTCAAGGTCTATTACTTGGGAAGACAGGCCAAGACAGGCTCCTGGCCTGTGAATAAAAGTTAGGAACACACAAGAACTATGATTTTGTTTTTTAAAAAATGAAGAAAAGGTTTACCATTATCACAAGATTTGCATCAAATATTTTTGTGATATTCTGACTTATATCAGGAGTTTATATGCTTCCAGATATTTTAAATTATTATTTGCTCTTTGCTCATATTTGTTCATGACAGATGAACACAGTCCATATTTTGGGGAAGCATGCTCAATGGCTCAATATTAGAAAGGCTGAGAATTACAAGGTGAATAGAAAAAATCCAATCAGTTCCATTTGTCTGCATCCACCTTCTGTTGTGCAATAAATGATATAGTATTCTAAAATGTAACATTTGATAAAATTAAATTAAAAGCAATCTTATTTCCACTGTCTCCAATGGAGTCTTCCATCCATTTGGGCATTTTTGGCATTTTTGGGCATTAGAACCCATAATTTTCGCCATCTGACTTATGAACAGAGTAGCCCCTGTGTCTGGAAATGAGTGCTTCTGCAAGCATTTTTGGAAAAAAAAAAATCTATATGCTTCTTCCTAGTCAATTTCTAGTAGCTTCTGGTAAGACCAAGCATCTCACCACAAAGCCTGCACTTACAGATCATGTGACTAAAGAGAATGTGGTACTGAGAGCTGGAAAACAGCATCATCTGAAATGCTGCTGAGCAAGCAGGATCAAGGATTACCAAGAGTAACAGTAGTTGTAAAAACAAAAGACTATCTTCACAAGCAAAATGTAGAATAAAAGCTCAGCACGGCTTACTCCAAAATAGTTTGTTGTTGTTTTACTTTTTTATTTTTATGTCTGTGTTTTTACTTTACTTTTTAAAAGATCTTTTTTTCTTTAAAGATCTTTTTAATTGTACTTGGCATACAAAGTTTCTTAAGGAGATATTTGATAAGAAAAAAATGAAGATCAATATTATATAGCATGTCCTTATTTAGAATGCATGGATATCAATAATCTTACTTTTGTAAGATAAATATTAAGTATCTTTAATCTGAGGAAATACTGAGGATAATTTAAAATACTGATGAAAACACCCTACATAACAATCAAACCCAATTTTCAAGAACTTTATATTTATATCTAATGGCATCAATTTTTTCAAGTAGCTTATATGTTTTACTTGTTAAAATATTATATGTTCAGGCATTTTCAGATGCTATATTTTGAGCAATTTATGTTCCTTTGTATAAAAACGTAAGACATATTACACCAGGGTGGATGTTTTCTTACACATGTTATCTGGAACCTAACTTCAGACTTCAAGGGGGGACTCTGGAGGAATCATAGATACAGATTTCAAAAATAAACTCTGTGTTCATTTAACCCTATGTTGAGTGATGAAGGCAACCCATTATTATCTCTACAATCACCAGCTCTGTCATTAGGAAGCTCATAAAGAACAGTGAGGAGACCAGGAGTCGTAGTGTCCAGAGCCCCTCCGGCCCTGCCTCTCTGCTCTTGGTCCCTGGAAATGCCTGAACCTGCCCAGACTTCATCCCTATCGCTGCCCTCCACCTGTTTCTTTCTTCTATTTACAGTAGTTCCCACTATCTGCAGTTTTCTGTGGTTTCCCTTACCTAAGTACAGTATGAGATATTTAGAGAGAGACCACATTCACCTTACAGAGTACTATTACAGTTGCTCTGTTTTATTATTAGTTATTATTGTTAGTCTGCTACTGTGCCTAATTTATAAATTAAACTTTATCATAGGTATGTATATGAGAAAACATAGTGTATACAGGACTTGGTACTATTCCATGTTTCAGGCATCTACTGTGGGTCTTGGAACTTACCTCCATAGTAAGGGGATGCCTAGTGTATTGCTATTGTTTTTCTTTTTCTTTTTCTTTCTTTCTTTCTTTTTTTTTTTTTTTTTGA